CGACGGCGGCTGCGGAGGCGGTGGAGGAGGAGACACCGGGGGAGGGACAGACGGCGAGGACTGCGCCAAAGGACTACCAGAGTCAGAAGACTCGTCGACCGGAACGACCGACGGGAGGGGGGTGACGTGAGACACACCAGAGGGGGCCGGACGGGGGGGCGGGGGGGGGAGGGGCAGGGGCCACCAGGGAGGGAGGAACCAGGAACAGGGGGGGAGTAACCGGGGGACCACGGTGGGGAAAGCGGCGGAAGAAGGAGACGGACTCGTCAAAGGTGACGTCGCGAGAGTGAAAGAAACGGTGAGACGGCGGGTGGTAGAAGTGCCAGTCGGACGCGTCAAGGGGGAAACCGAGGAAGACGCAAGGGAGGGTGCGGGCAGTGAGCTTGTCCGTGCCAGAGGCACGAACGTGAGCAAGGCAGCCCCAGACGTGGAACGCAGACGCGTCACCAGGGGACCCGGTCCACAGAAGGGTCGGCGAAACCTGCGGCCGCTGGGGGTGCGGCCACAGGTTAAGCTGGTGAGCGGCGTAGCGCACGGCGAACGGCCACAGAAAATGGGGTGCACCGGCGTGGATCATGGAGGTGCGAGCCACCTCCATGACCAAACCGATGCGTCGCTCAGCGACCCCATTCTGCTGCGGGGAGTCCGGCAGGGTAAACGTCTGGGTGATGCCCTCCGCACGACAGAAGCGACCAAGGACACCTGAGGCGAACTCGCCACCCCGGTCGGAGTGGAGGCGCAAGGCAGGGAGACCGCGGTGGAGACGAGCAGAGACAAGCCAGGGGATGAGAACGTCAGGCACGTCGGCCTTCCGCTCCAGGGGAAAGACGGTGGTGTAACGTGTGAAGTCGTCGACAAGCACTAGGAAGAAGCGCTCGCGACGCGGCCCATGGACCGGGGCTGGGCCCCAGACGTCCATGTGCAGAGTCTGCAGGGGTGCGGTGGTAGGGGAAAAGAGGAGGAGTGAGGGGCACGGCGGAGCCGGCCCTCGACACAAGGCGTGCACGGTGGGGCGGGGGATGAGGGAAACTCAGGGAACGAACCGGGGAGACCAAGGACGAGACCGTGCTGGGACATGTGACGCAGACGCGGGAGTGTAGGGTGACCAAGGCGGTGGTGCCAAAGGAGAGTCGGATGAGTGAGGGACCGACAGGAGCACGCAGCAGCAACCTGGGTGGACGCAGCTACCTGGGGGGAAGACCCAGCCGGGGACGTCGCGGTGTCAAGTGTGAACAGGCCGGACACCGGGTCCCGGGGGAAAGTGGTAAGGGGGGCACCAGTGGCGGCCTCGGTACAGACAGCATACCGCTCGTGACCAGGGAACGTAGTGGTGACGCCAAGGTCCTGGAGGCAGCCGACACCAACTAGGTTCCTGGAGAACGAGGGGATATGCAGACCGGTGAGCGAACCTGAAGGAACCGCCGGACAGGGAAGGGAGGTGGAACTGCGGGCAAAGACGGGACCACCGGAGGGGTCAGCAAGAGTAACTGCAGCAGGAACAGGCAGCGGCGTCAGCGTCGTGGAGTCGCGGAAGAAACACCGGGAGGCGCCAGAGTCCAAGGTGAAGGAAAGCGCAGCAGTCGCGCGGGGCGACAGTGAAGCGGTGGAAGCACCGAGGCTAAGCAAAGCAGGAGATCCTACGCCTGACGCAGCAGGGGAGTCTACGCTAGGCACAGCTACACTAGGCAACACGGGGTAATAAGAGGGAAGCACACTAGAGTCATCGGCATACATCACATGCAAGGCTGCTACAATGGCATCCATGTCCAAGTCAAAAATCCGAATGCTACGCCTAAGCAAGCTGTGCCAGTCCGGGAGGTCGGGCGCCGGGCCAAAGCGCTGGCGGAACAGGTCGTCCAGACGACGAAAACAGCGAGGAGTGGAATGACCTATCTTACCGCAAACGAAGCCGCGGCGAGGACCGGTCTGGATCTGGTACTGACAGGGCCCGCCTCCAGAACCACCACCCGGTGCACCACCACGCGCACGACCACCACCAGCTCCAGGCCACCCAGGCGGGAGAGCACTCGCCGGCCTCGTCTGCGGCGGCTGCTGCGGCTGCTGCGGAGGCTGCTGCTGCTGCGGCTGCTGCAACGGTGGAGGCAGCGGGGCAGCTGGACCGGGCAGGGTCCCCACGTCCGCACCGGCACCGGACGACCCGCCTCCACCACTACCCCCACCCGCACCCCCGCCACCTCCGCCGCTCCCAACCTTGGGGCGGCGGCCCTTCCCCGAGCGGGACTGCACTGCAGCAGCAGTCTCAGCCACAGCGACAGAGCCGTCGGAGAAGGTACACTGAGCGGGGGCACAACCCTGAAAGATAGGGACCGGTACTGTACCGCTCGCCTGGGCTATGGAGCGGTGACGAGTCTCTATGGCAGTCAGGGTGTCAACAAAGTCGGTGAGGGTGAGAGCAGCAGGGTGGATGCTAAGGAACTGGTCGCGGGCGGCGGCAAGGCGGTCAGGGAGGCGGGTGGCAAGGAGGTAGAGGGTAGAGGTCATGGGAGGCTGGTGGACTCTAAGCTGTGCATCAGTGCAGGCAGCGCGCCAGGCCTCATCTATCGAGCGCAGGTGGGCAGCGAGGTCAGAGACAGTGGGGAAGGATGCCAGGTCAGGAAAGAGCAGGGGGAGGATCAGGCGACCCACTGAGGCAGCAGGAGGGGTAGAATAGCGCTTGATGACAGCATCGAGGTAGGCCTGGGCGGTAGTAATGGTTCTAAAGCGAGGGCGCTCAAGGGGGGGGAGGGCATTGCTAATGGCGAGCTGAGCAAGGGCATCGCGGGAAAGCCAGACAGAGCGGGCAAGGGCAGCAGCGGCAGTGGACTCGCGCTCAGCGGGCGTGGGATCAGCAGGTAGCACAGCAGGGGGGTCAGGGCAGGGGAGCATACCGTCTAGGTGTGCAGAAAGCGGGTGGCCGTCCTGCCGCTGACCAGTGAGGTGGCGGCGAAGGTCAGCCAACCACGCCTCGAACTCCAGAGGCTGACCCTCAGCATCAAAACGAAGCTCAGCAGCCATGAGGGGCAGTGGAGGACAGTGGAGTGCGGTGTAGTGCTGTGCAGTGCGGTGCAGGGCGGTGCAGTGCGGTCGAGTGCGGTGCAGTGCGATGCAGTGCGGTGCAGTGCGGTTCAGTGCGGTGCAGTGCGGTCAGTGCGGTTCAGTGAGGTGCAATGCGGTGCAAGGCGGGGCAGGAAAGTGCAGGAGGGTGCAAAGTGGTGCGGGGAACGGGGGACAGTACCAGGAAGTATGGAGGGCCGGGGCAGGCGCGACGGGGCCGGGCAGGCGCGACGGGGCCGGGCAGGCACGTCGAGGCCGGGCAGGCGCGACGGGCCGGGCAGGCGCGACGAGGGCCGGGCGGCTGCGACGGGGCCGGGCGGCAGCGACGAGGCCGGGCGGCTGCGACGGGGCCGGGCGGCTGCGACGGGGCCGGGCGGCTGCGACGGGCCGGGCGGCTGCGACGGGCCGGGCGGCAGCGACAAGGCCGGGCGGCAGCTACGAGGCCGGGCGGCAGCGACAGGGCCGGGCGGCAGCTACGAGGCCGGGCGGCAGCGACAGGGCCGGGCGGCAGCGACGGGGCCGGGCAGGACACAGCAGGGCCGGGCGGGGGCGACGGGGCCGGGCGGGCGCGACAGGGGCCGGGCAGCTGCGACAGGGGCAGGGCGGGCGCCACGGGGCCGAGAGGCCGCGACAGGGCCGAGCTGGGGCGACGGGGCCGAGCAGGGGCGACGGGGCCCAGGAGGGTGGATACGGGGCCCAGGGAGGAGCGCGGCAGGGCCCAGGAGGGGCGCAACAGGCCCAGGAGGGGCGCTACGGGCCCAGGAGGGGCGCAATGGGGGCCCAGGAGGGGCGCGGCGGGGCCCAGGAGGGGCGCAATGGGGGCCCAGGAGGGGCGCTACGGGCCCAGGAGGGGCACTACGGGCCTAGGAGGGGCGCGACGGGGCCTGGGAGGGCACGACGGGGCCCAGGAGGGGCGCTACAGGGCCCAGGGAGGGCGCGACGGGTCCCAGTAGGGGCGCTACGGAGCCCAGGAGGGGCGCGACGGGGCCTGGGAGGGGCGTTACGAAGCCCAGGAGGGGCGCTACGAAGCCCAGGAGGGGCGCGACGAGGCCCAGGAGGGGCGCTACGGGGCGCTACGGGGCCTGTGAGGAGCGCGACGGGGCCCAGGAGGGGCGCTAAGGGGCGCGACGGGGCCCTGGAGGGGCGCTACGGGGCCCAGGAGGGGCGCGAAGGGGCGCGACGGGGCCCTGGAGGGGCGCTACGGGGCCCAGGAGGGGCGCTAGGGGGCGCGACGGGGCCCTGGAGGGGCGCTACAGAGCCCTGGAGGGGCGCGACGGGGGCCTGGAGGGGCGTTACGAAGCCCTGGAAGGGGGGCGCGACGGGGCCTGGAGGGGCGCTACGAGGCCCTGGAAGGGGCGCGACGGGGCTAGGGGGAGGGGTCGCGACTGGGCTCAGGAGGGGCGAGGCGAGGCTAGGAGACGCGACGGGAGGAGCGGAAGCGGTAGGTGGGGGGGGGGGGGGGGGGTCGAAACCTACTCGTGATACCATATCAAACCTAGAATTGAATAATGTGAGAGAGAGAGTACACAAACATATACCTAAATGTTGTACTCTCTAGAAGGTGACCCTATACAGTCTATACGAACATGATAACTACACATGTTTGACACTAATAGCTACAGAGAAGTACACGCCTGGCATCCATAATAACCATTTGCTGTTGTTTTTCAACCAAACCTTTTTTTCATGTTGAGATTTGTAGAAAACCCATGGCATTGTTCTCGTTTATACATTTCTCATCAAAATCCCCTAATTGCTTCAAATCATGTTCACGCTCATATCCAATCTGAAAAACAATTTCACATAGCTTACCTTACAAACGAACTCTCTTACCTATTTATTTGTTGAATTGCTCTTTCATTTCAGGATTCTATCAAGCTGCTACGCAACCCCAACGACGCATTGGCGTCGAGCCATAGTTTCTTCTCGCCATCATTCTCTCCCTTCTCATCCGTCGCACCATTTCAACGCCGCTTTCCTTGGAAATAGATGGACGGTCCTCACACCGTCCTTAGCATCGCCGCACCCTCGTTAGGCATAGGGTTAGGTCGGTAGGGCAGCGGCGAACCACCCTAACATGAACCACCAGATCCCCCCCTCGGAGCTGGCGGAGCTGGCGGTGGACGCGGACTACCTGCGCAAGGTGGGCGCCTTCATCCGCCAGCGCCGCCTCGACCTGCTCGGCCCCGCCAACATCGCGCCCGTCTCCGCCGTGCAGGTCGCTCCGCCGCGCCACCCACCAACCGCTGCTGTACCGCCCTCCCTTGCTGGGCCCGCCGAATCCGCTGCATATGCCGCATCCGCCGCTCGTGTCGGCGCCTCCCATGCTTCTTCCGCTCAAGTCGCCGTCCCCCATGCATCCGCCACTCAAGTCGCCGTCCCCCATGCATCCGCCACTCAAGTCGCCGTCCCCCATGCATCCGCCGCTGTTGCCACCGGGGTGTCCCTGACCGCCAGTGCGGCCGGCCTACCCGCCGCCGAGTCAACCGCGCCTCCGCGTCTCGCGCGCCCCCCGTCGCGCGCAGATGCCATCGGGATTGCCGCGGCTGACGGCGCTTCCTCCGCCGTTGGATCGTCGACGGGGCCGGCGATCAACGGTGCGCCGGCGGTTGCGCTTGACGCAGGCAATCGGAGGGCCAACGGCAGCGACGGCGGGGACACGACGTCTGAGAGGGGCGTCACTGCTGCTGCAGCGCCTAGAGTCATACCGCCTACAGTCATACCGCCTACAGTCATACCGCCTACAGGTACACCGCCTTCAGTGATTGTGCCTTCAGCGGCTGCTTCTCCTGCTCCTGCACCCGCCAACGCTCCCCAGCCTGCCATCGCTGTTGCTCCTCACCTTTCCACGCTTGCAGCGCCTTCAACCAACCCCACCGTGAATACTCTCGCCTCTGCCACGTCGGCAGCGAATCCCGTTGTGACAGCTGTCCCTACTGGTGGCGCGGATGCAGCTGCCGCGTCCGCCGCCCCCGAGCCCTCTGCTGCTGCAGCCCTCCGTGCCCTTGCGCCGTCGCTGCCTGTTGCTGCCACAACGAGTCTTGAGGCACCCCAACGCACGCCTGTTGCTGCCACTGCTAGTACAGCCGCGCAGCAGCAGCAGGGCGCGCAAGCGCCGCACATGGCGGGCGACCGAGACGCGCACAGGCAGGAAGGACGTCAGGGGGGGCGGCAGGGAGGGTTGCATGGAGATGGGAAGGAGCATGCAGGGCGGGGTGATTCTAACGGGAGTGCTTCTAAAGGGGGGGAGAAGGGGCTTGGGACTTCTGAGGATAGAAGGGGAGGCGAGGGTGGAGAGGGGGAGGAGGATGAGGGGAGTGATGAGGGGGATGGGGGGGGAGGAGGGGAAGCGGGCGGAGGGGTGGGGGAGGGAGCGGGGGAGGAAGAGGGGGCGGAGGTAACAGGAGGGGAGGGGGAGGCGGAGGGGCGGGAGGGTCGTCTGCAGGGGGGGGGCGGGGAGGGGAAGCAGAGGACAGGGGGGGAGAGGAGGAGGAAGTGGTGGAGGGGGGAGAGGAGGCGGGTGGAGGGGAGGAGGGGGGAGAAGGGGGGGAGGGAGTAGGTCGGCGGATGGGGGAACAGCACCAGGGGCGTCGGGGGAAGAGGAAGAGCAGTGGGACGAGTGTGGAGGTGATGGGGAGGGGCAGGAAGGGGAGTGGGGGACTGGGGGGGGAGATGGCAGCGGAGGTCGAGGAGAGGGAGCGCACGGACGGGGGCGCTGATGGGCAGAAGCAGGGGGAAACAGGTGGCGGCGCAGCGGGTGGAGGGGAGAGGGAAGAGGGAGAAGAGCGGGAGGAGAGGGGGGCAGGTGGGAGTGAAGGGCATGAGAGGCAGAGGCACGAGCGTGAGGAGCCGAGGGAGGAGGGGCACAGGGAGGAAGCGGAGAGGGAGGAAGCGGAGAGGGAGGGTGAGGAGCCATTTTTGCGAGAGCAGGAATGTGCCGAGGGAATCGGTTCGGGAAACGGGGGAGGTGGAGAGAGCGAGGATGCGGAGTCGGGAGTTGTGAGGGAAGAAGTGGTGGGGACGAGGGCAGGTGGTGGAGGAGGGCAGTGCGAGGGAGGGCGTAGACGAGGAGGGGGAAATAGATGAGAAGGGGGCGGAGAGAGGCGAGAAGAGGGACGGACGAGAAGGCGAGGAGCAAGAGGAAGGGGGAGAAAGGGAGCAAGGGGAGAACAGAGCGGAGGCAGAGCAAAGAAGGAGCGGGAACGAGGGAGGGGAAGGGAGTGAGGGATGGGAAGGGAAGGAGAGACAGGGTGGGAAGGACAAGGGAGAAAGGGCGCAGGAGAGGGAAGGAGAGTATGCGGCAGGGACAACAGGCAGCAGCATGTATGGTGGCGTGAGTGGTAGTGCGAGTGCAGCTGCGAGCGGCATGTGTGAGGAGGATGAGGCAGGTGCTGTGAGGAGCGGAGGCGCACATGTGGCCTTGGCTTCTGCTGCTTCTCTCCCAGAGGCTGCTGCTGCTGCCACTCCGCCTGCTGCTTCTCCTGCTGCTCCTGCTTCTGCTCCCGTTGCTGCTCCCGTTGCTGCTCCTGTTCCTGCTGCTGTTGCTGTTGCTCCTGCTGCTCCTGCTCCTGCTCCTGCTCTTGCTGCTCCTGCTGCTGCAGTGCTAGCAGCATCTGCAGCAGCCCCTGCTGCCATGGCCATCGGTGGAAGCACCGTGAGTGGTGGGCGGGGGGCTTGCAGCAGAGCAGTGCAGAGAGCGGCACACAGTGCGCTCCTGCTGAGCCTGAGGCGCGTGAGGAGCAGCATGCAGGCACAGCACCAGCGACAGCACCAGCGACAGCACCGCACACGCACACACTCGTACGAGCAGCGGACTGGCGTCCCCCCACCAGCCTGGAATCTCCTTCCGTCCTTCCAGCAGCACCCACTGCTGCTGCCGTCCCTCCTCCTGCTGCCATCGTGTCACTCTCCCCTGCTGCCTCCCCTCCCACCGCCAACCCTCCATGCACCCCTGAACCTCCATGCCACTCCACCTCTCCCTGGCCCCCCCCACCCGCGACTCTCGTCCCTGTGGACGCGTCTCAGCACCTCACTCTCTCCCCCGCTGCAAGCACGGCACCTGGCGCCCCTCCCTCCCCTGCCGTGCCACCGGCTGCCCTTCCAGACAGCATTCCAGAAGCAGAGAAGGGCATTCTAGGGCGGGGCCACGGGCCCCCTCTGCCCCTTCCACTGCCTCTTCCCCTGCCCCTTCCGGTCACGGGCCCGCTGCAGTACGGGCCTGGGAATTGGCACGGGGTTGCGCCTGATGCTGCATGGCTGAGCATGCCTGCTGGCATGCCCATGCTGGGAGGGGACGCCATGCCCATGCATGCGCCCAGTCCAGCCATGGGGTTGGGCATGGAGGCGGGAATGGGGATGGGTAGGGAGGCATGCAAGGGTGTGCGTGTGGGCATGGACATGGGAAACGGAGGGGGTTGGTGGTACCGCGTGGGAGGGGTGGGGAGGGAGTGGATGTGCCGAGGGCACGGATGGTGGGGTGGGCGCAAAGCAGGGGAGGAGGAAGGCGCAGGGTGGGTGGGAGCGGCGGCATTGGGTGCAGGGTGGAAGGGGTAGTGTGGGGGGAGGGGGCCGAGGGAGGAGGAGGAGGGGGTAGTGGTGGGAAGAGAGGGGGGAGGGATCAGGATCAGGATCCGCCGAGTATGCACCGGTCCACGTGTACTCGTTTGAGCAGCTCAAGGAGATCGGCCTGCAGTCCGTCCAGTACCAGCGTGACACGTGGCGCACCATGAATGGCAGCACGCAGCTGGCCCTGGAGGAGCTCATGCGAGATGTGACTAGAGGGGGGGCGGGGGGAGGGGAGGGGAGGAGGAGGGGGGGGAGGAGGGGAGGGTCTGGGGAGAAGGGATCAAGGCGCAAGGGGCGGAAGAATGCAGGGGGCAGGAGCAGAGTGGGAGGGGGGAAGGGGCCGGGGGTTGCATGGGAGGGCAGCAGCAGCGGCGGCAGTATTCTGGGGCGGCAGAGTGTGCAGGTGGGAGGCGATGCGAGGACAGGCACGGAGACCCACATGGCTGGCTTGGCAGCTGACGCCAGAGGCTATGCCACCACTGCTGCCGCTGCTGCTGCTGCAACAATGTGTGCTGCCAGCAGTTGCAAGAGTGCTGACGGTGCTGCCAGCCCGACATGCGAATGATGCTTCCACTGCTGGGGATGCTGACACTGGCGCACTGCCAGGTTTGCGGGTGATGTCACTGCCACTGCTGCAGCACCTTCCGCACAAGACACCGGAGGAGAGGTGAGCGAGGCAGGGCAAACTGCTGCTGCTGGTGCTGGTGCTGCTGGTGGTGGTGCGGAGAGCACAGCTGGTGGTGCGATAGCAAGGAGGAGCCGGGGCAGCAGATGCGTGAGGAGAGAAGCTTGCCTGATACCAGTGCTTGCGCTGCTGCTGCTGCTGCTGCTGGTACCTTGGGTGGCAGCGGGGATGGCATGGATAAGTTCTGGAGCGAGTGACTTGCACCGTCAGCACCAGAAACGCAGGGGGTGTATGAAGAGGAAGAGGAGGAATTCGAGGAGGAGGATGAGGAGGTGGAGGCACTGCAGCCGCGGGCTCTGCCAGTATATGGCGAAACCTGACTTCTCCCAGCCACACCCCCTCGATGGTCTCGAGTACTTGCGCCGAGTCAGGTGATGACTGCTCAGCATGGACTTTCAGGTGTAGGTTCAGGATTCAGGGGTTGACGGTTTAGGAAGTAGGCTCTAGGCTTTGGGTTAAGACATTGAGTTATCACTGGATGTCTCGAGTCAGGTGACAATTCTTGC